GGAATTGGGGAGTGCACCTTCCCCCAAGCCCCTCGGGCCGAGTCCCAGCGCGTCGTTTCCAGGGGGCGCTCTGCTGGTCCCGTGGTTCAATCCGCACGTCCCGGCCTGGCGTGAGTGGGGGTTCAGGTGGCTTCCTTAGTAGGGCTCATGGGGGGTGGGTGGGGAAGTGCGGCCGCCATTATAGCTCATTCTCCCGCCCCATGTGGAGCGGCGCTTCCTGCCCTGATGAATGGGGCCCGGACCACGCGGGGAGTTGGCGGGATGGGAGGAGCTTGGGCCTCTGCGCTTGAGGCGTCCAGGCCCTGATCCGTCTGGCGTGCTGAGCTCTCATGCAACTATTTCTCCCGCAGACTCAGCATGGCCGCCCAAGGAGAGCCCCAAGTACAGTTTAAGGTAAGGATCTGGCCTTGCGCGTGCGGGCCTGACTCGCTAGAGCATCATCGTGTTGGCGTTAGAGCTGCTGCGAATTTAGAGCTGAGATTTTTAGTTTCTACCATTGTATAAGATGATTTTTTTCAGGCTAGCGTCTAGAGCGAATTACTATGATGTCATGCGTGTTAGCTGCTGTTCCTAACTCAAATTGTTGTTTAATTAAACTTCTTAACTCGTTGCGGTGTAGTTTAAAACCCAATCCTATTATGAGTTAAAAGTACTTTCCAGTGCTTTTTCTTGCTAGTTGCTTTGTTACTTTTTGCTATAAGGTAGTTTTCTAATTTACCATTTCTTTTCTGTGTTTTATAAAAACATAAGATGGCAATAAAACTCACTTTACATACTGTGCTGTTGAATACACAATGTTATACACTTTCTCAGTCTCTGGCTATAAAAGTCTTAAGTGTTTTGTTTATGAAACTACAAATTATTAGTTATTAAACACTGTGGAAAGAAAATAGTCTCTTCTAAACCCCAAATACTGTCATATTGCATATTTCTTGGTTTGGACAATGAAAATCCATTTCTGAATGTGGCTCTTATGCTAGAACAGTGTAGTAGTAATGTTTGAATTATAAACACTGTAGCAGAGTCTTGTTAACTGAGCCACTTTTTTTTTAAATTGAAATGGTTCTGTAACACATTCTACAAAGATGTTCTTTAAGAAATAAAATATACTAAATCCAGATTTAAAAAAACAAATTTAACACTCATTTTAATCTAAATCTACCTGGTAGTGCATAAGGCCGCTTCAAACTGATCATGTGAAAGAAGATGCAAGAAGCTGTGCATTAGTACTACAAGCTTCTGCTGCGTTTGCTTCAGAGAATTGTATATCAAGTTGGGTATTAACTGCTTTTAAGTAGCTTTTTAACTTTAAAACAAAGCAAAATCTTATTGCATGAAGTAATTTATGGTCTTGGTGTTAAACTATATAAAACCTATTAATTGCAGCAGTAATCTTATAAAAAATGATGCAATAAATTGGCTTGATTTGTTTTGTGTTATCTTTCAACAGCTTGTCTTGGTTGGTGATGGTGGTACTGGTAAAACGACGTTTGTAAAACGTCATTTGACTGGTGAATTTGAAAAGAAGTATGTAGGTATGTTTGAACGTTTACTTGCAGAATTCTCATATTAGTTTCAAATATTTCATAAGTGGTTACTAAATTGTATGTTTTAATTGCAGCTACATTGGGTGTTGAAGTCCATCCTCTGGTGTTCCACACTAATAGAGGTCCTATTAAATTTAATGTATGGGACACGGCTGGTCAGGAGAAATTTGGTGGTTTGCGGGATGGATACTATATCCAAGGTAAGTATATACATTCTGTAGTTATAACAGTAACTGCTCAGTGACTTTACAGTGGCAGTCAGAGGGTGTTCTAAAAAAGAGTATTCTATCCTATGCAAACTATAACTGTCAGCATGAGGATAAGAGTCACTTTTTTGTATATTGTTTTCTAATACTTTATGGAATATTTTCTGGTAAAGTTAAATGACAAAACTAATCAAATCTTGCCAGGCTTATATTCTCTCCTGAAGAGTATCTCACTGTATTAAAGTGGACTATTTTTTAATTCTTGCTAATGTAGCTATATTGACAGAGTAGAGTGTATTTAATAATTCTGTGCAGATAATCTCAAGAGTTTTTCCTCTTATTGGCCTTTGAAATATGAGGAAAAAATGCGGCCTCTTTGAAAACTTCCTTAACTAGAGTTGGAGACCGCAAGTCTCAGATATGTACCATAAGTTCTCAAGTAGTTGAAAGCCTGGATAAGTTGCCCAAGACTGATTACTCCTATTTGAATAATCTCATTTGATAAATATTTTGTAATTCAAACTTCTTGGGGAAGCTTCTGTGGGTGCCCTATCCATATACGTAATACCATGATTTTCTGTGGGACTTCGTGCAGTGGTTCCCAACTGTTTTGATACCCAGCACTGGTGAGTCTATTCAAAAACTTTTAGTGGACTGGCAATATTTTATTTGCAAATTTATTATGCAAATGATCAGGGCTCGCCAAGTGGCGGCGAACCCCACTCGCCAGCCACGTGGCTGTGGGTGCCCTATCCATATACGTAATACCATGATTTTCTGTGGGACTTCGTGCAGTGGTTCCCAACTGTTTTGATACCCAGCACTGGTGAGTCTATTCAAAAACTTTTAGTGGACTGGCAATATTTTATTTGCAAATTTATTATGCAAATGATCAGGGCTCGCCAAGTGGCGGCGAACCCCACTCGCCAGCCACGTGGTTCT